TACTCTATAACATATTTGCAAAGTTAAGACATTCGCTAAATAATTAAGGTTTTTTTTCATCGGCCTATTATAGCCTTCCCTATGAATGGAATCGAATCATGCAGGCCCACTGCGTTCTGATGGGTATTAATGTGTGTGTGCCATGACCGGCCCTCGAAAGTCGCTTGAAAACCGTATCGCAGGAAGAGAGCCCTAGCCACTGTGCATTCAACCTCTTATGAGCCAAATCAAACCGTTTAGGAAAAATACGGAAATATTAAATTTTTATATGATCAAAGCCTTCGCGACATTCTTTAAATGGCGCTAACGTAAGCGAGATTTGTTTGAACCCGCTTAAAAAAATAATCCTATCTGTCGCTTAATGAAACAGAGAGAACACTCCTAAATTCAAAGCAGTTAAAATTGTCTTCTATTGCATTATCATCTTTACTTAAAAAGAACTTATTCTGACTGATTTATCACCACCAAGCGTTAACTATTAAAGTTTTGCTTAGTAGACTTATAGGGTTGTGGAGTAGATACTCGCTGAATGTATTTTTGGATATTATATCCCTAAAATATTTTGGTATCCAATGTTTGCGTGGTAGTCCGTTATTTTTGAAGAAGCAAGAAACGTTATGTTTCTATGTGTATTTTATGATATCTCCCCCAATAGTAGTCAAGTTTTCTATGAACAAAGTTTGAAATCAGGCAGTTTTAAAACCAAATCTGGTTTCAAAGAATCACAAAAACATTTTTTGACAATCACATTCTCGCCTGAATTCTAATGAATTATCTTGAATTTTTTAACAGTATGTGATAATGATAATTAACGATTATGTCGTTTTAAACTTCTACGGTCGCTAACATCAGAATAATTGCTAAAAGTGGGATTACTACCCTGGCGCTTGCAATAGCGCCAAAATATCGGAAACTCATTATACGCTATGATCACGGAGTAACTCATAAAATATAATGTATGTGACAGCAATCCAGTTTTAGCCATCATTCTGAATATAGGTTATATTTATATTTTTGAATTCCGTTTCAGTTTATAAACGCTTGACTTCAAATTCGTTTTTTATCAGAAATATTTTCAATATAAAAATACAAAACAACATTATACATTGCTCATATTCCAAGAGTAGATAAAAACCTCGCATTATGTAGTATCAGACGAAAAAAGTAACTTAACGAATAGAAAACTTCATTTCTACATTAACCTGGTCTACTTGAACCTTTTATATTTCTGCCTGATCTATACTTCTAATATAAGGTAATAAAATATTTGACTGTTTGATTGCATACATTCAGGCTTCGAATCAATTAACCCGATTTCCGTATCTTTCATCTACGGCACAGAAACACATCAACTATCCTACGGGAAATCACATTATATGACTATTATTTGCGTAGGTAAAATCGCAAGAAAAAAACAGTTAGTTTTAATTATTTCTGAAACAAAATATCTTAGTCTCACAGTTGCCAATAAGATCACATCATACGAAATTCAGTCACATTATCGTCACTTGAATTTAGAATAAATAAAGATACTAATTCTTCTTTTGTCTTCTGTTTACAAACAGGCTGATATCCTAAGGGATTACATGTTAAAACAATATGTTACGACTACCAAACTTGAGCTATCACCGTTTACATTTTAATGTGAGCTAAAGAGTGATTAATAATTCTCCTTCATTTCTCAGCAAGTTCAGGATAAACGTAAAACATGACATACAGTAGCCCCACTTTGATAAATAATTAACTAAACTAACCTTCCTTCTGTTGTTCAATAATCTTTATGACTACAAAGGCAGAAGGCACTTAAATGGCAATTTTCATCCACCATTACCAATATAAAATATACTGTATTTTGTTAATTGAAAATACATTTTCTTAAATATTTCCCATGCGTTGCCAGCAGCGCTTCCGTGGCTTCCCTTGCCGTCCATGAGATGCCAAAAGTTAACAAAAGCAAATAAAGAAAGATAAATTAATTTGTCAATTGGCATCGCCTGTATTCGGGCTGCTATCACCAAATGAATCAAGGTTAGGTGCGTTACAATATAGCTATGTTTAGATCGGAGATGCTGCCGGAGTATCCTAATAATCAGTTCTTATTAACAAGGTATAATTTATGAACCACGCAATAAATTATCTTTTATTTATAGAAAAACAATTTATCTTCGAAAAATTACAGTCAAAATACACAGGTGCTCCTTTTCCAAATATAAATACTATATTTGAAAAACCTTCACAACTGGGAAAATAATATGCAAATAATAAAACAATAACAAACAATCTAAAACTGCTACATCGCGAAACCTCTTTCGTTATTAATAAAAAAAGTATTGTTGTTTTTGTTAGCTTTTATCTCAGTCTTCTGTATTAAATTGAAAGCAAAATAAGTGATATTCATCTAGTAGAAGTCGTAAAAGTCTACTGACAAATTGAGGTTTCATATCTCTTTGTATTGACAATATCATCGTAATATTACATAATCAAATTTGACGCAAATAACTACAGAAATATCTTTACAACATTTGATTTCTAATATGTAATGAAATGTGTCTACACTTCGGAAACCAAACTCAATAATCTAACAAATTCGTTTCGTTTCCGCTCCGTGTTTGCGATTTAAGGCATTGTGCTCAAGCTCAAGAACAATATTGTAAATTGAGAAATAACGAAAATAATAATATATATCCATACTGTTAAAATACCTACTTCATCATTAAATTTAAAAGTGCGGGCTTGAATTTCATGTGTTTTAGAGACTTTTAGTCATAGTTAGACCTAGTTCAGAAGGAGCGTGCTATGAATTATTAACATGCGATTCCAAATCCGATAATGCAATTTTACTTATCGTAAACTTTTATTTAACTTGAGCAAGATTACTGTTGCTTTGCTGCCACGGATTCTCATACTACAGATGTAAACCGGGGCTTCACCTGCTATATTGGAGTTTTAAGCTAATCTTAATTAAAAAGCAGTCAAATAGCATACATCTTTTGCATACATCCTCACTGCTGAGTGTCCAATAGATGGATTTTTAGGGCGCAGTAACTTCGATATCGATAGATCTTGCAAAAAATACAAATAAATATTTAATCCTTTTATTGAAGTAGTTTAATATTTACGCTGTCATTTTGCTTAGATCTAGATACTACTGTACTTATTCTGGACTTTCAGATAAGGGTTTTCATTTTAGTATTCTCATATAGGTAAACCTTTTCTTTTTTTTATATACCGAGGGGAAATGACCTTAACATATCGTCGACCAAGACGAAAGGCCGACTGAACCCGGGCTCTCCCACTGCAAGGGATGGCGGTCCAGTGCAGTGGGCCTACCGTGCAAAACCCCCCGTACCACCCTCGCGCATAGTCCGGAACTTTTCATGTTTTATAGCCTCTTGCGGGCGAGGCGCCCCAAACTTCTTCTTCTCTTCTCACCTCCATGGTTTTATAGTGAGGTTATCTCCTCTTGGTCCCCGCCCAAAAGCAGCGGCCCTCGGTCCCGCACCACGTACGGAATAACGAGCGTGGCCGGAGGTGGCTCAGTAGAGCCGTTTTCACGCCGGTAAATAAAACGTTCTCGAGTTCGTCATGCTATGAGTGCAGCCAGTGTAGTATTGCAATCTCAAGAAATTCGAGAAATGAGCGAAAGCGAGTTCTAAACGGAAGTGAGATACCTATTGCATACGCATATCTCCCTCTTGACATATTCCCCGAGTTTCTCGTGTGTTTCTGGAATCACTCGAGTTCATCATGCTACTTAGGCAGTAGTGCTGCAAAGTATATATTCGACAGCATTGCTGCATGCACTGAAGTTTGGAATACCTTAATTTAATTAATTAAACGAACAGTCATCCAAGTAACATACGGAACGGATGGCGGGATGGGCGAAATGGGTAGATGGTGAGCGCCTAATTTTCTAGTGATAGGATACATCTTAGAGATATCATGGTAATATTTCATTTCATTTTCTGCTTAACATGGTTTTTATTAACGACGAATGAATGATAAAACGTGACTAGCTCGGTGGCGTAGTCGATAAGCGCCGCAGCCCGCGATCGTTGTTGAAAAACAACAACTCAAGGATGGGTCACGGGATGGGTGACAAAAAATAAATTATCTCATTCTACTCCTTGTACCGGTTGGCACGTTACGCCGCTGGTCCGGGCAGCATTTGCAGTCGTTAATAATATCCCCCAATCCACATTAGGCCAGTGTGCAATCATGGCCTATCTTCCTTAACCATTCATAAGGAAGGCCCGAGCCCCTGCAATGGGGACGTAAAAGCGCTTCTGCTGCTGATAACGATGATGATGATGAAGAAGAATAATATGGTGATGATAATGATGATGAATAATAAAACATGAGGATTATGAATTCGATAGCAAGTCATTTAAAGATAAATTGACCTACCAAAAGAAATGTCAAATTTACCTACCAAATTATTTAATTTAAAACTTCTAAGTCCGTAAATTAATAATTATGAACGAATACGTATTTTATGGCTGTACTGTATTAAATAAATAAATTGAAAATTTTCACATTACTTTACATAGGTTCTTAAATGTTGAAAGTTATGAACGGTATCGGATAAAGGAAACCGCTGAGTTATAATACCCCATCACATATACCTGGATCCAATTTCATTAAGTGTCATTGTATTTCACGGTTTGGAAATCCCCTTTAGATTATTATCCCATCAATGGAGCAGTAAAATAGTGGAATATCGTTTTTTTAGCTCGCGTGCTACATGGATACCAGTTGTAGAAGAATTAATAGCTTATGAGATTGGAAGAACTTAAAACAAAAAATATTTGAATGCTCACGGCTCATAAATTCTGAAAATGTACAAAGATGTGATATTATGTAACATCTCAATTCAATGTATCACCGCAAAAAAATACGTGTTTGATTTTCTCCCAAAATCTACCAAAGTAGCAGAGGATAACCAAAGTTATTTGTCCACAGAATGAAGAGTCTGTCCTGATTGGGGGTTCCTGCCAGATTCCCGATCCCCTGTACAAGGCTATCGGCTCCATCATATGTTTCTACATTCCTCTGGGTGTGATGCTGCTGACGTATGCACTAACTGTGCAGCTATTGGCAAGGCAGAGGAAGGGTCTTGGCGCTGGATGGGCTGCAGGCTGGCTCGGTGCGCCTCCAATCGGTATTTATGATAAGCGTGAGGATTTACTGAAAGAAAAGAAGTTATGATAGTTAAATTTATATCACCATAATAATGGTAGAAAATATGTTTAAGAAAGACTGTAAAAAAGGAAAACGAAATATGGTATACAAGAGTATATAGGGCATTGTATCTTATGGGTTCTAAAATGAGTTTAATTATAAATTTCAATACGGTATAGGTAGGTCCGATTGGTAGGTTCTGGTAAAGGTCGCGGGAAGCCGCTGGAAGCGGGAGGCGCAGGACCGATCACATTGGAGATCTTTGGAGGAGGCCTATACCCAGCAGTGAACGTCACTCGGCTGAAATGATGATGATGATGAGGTCCGACCAGTTAAACACAGATTCATTCATGACTTCCGTTATTTTTTTTTTATATATTACCACACTATCAGTAAAAAGAAATTAATAGTAGTTGGCATTAAATAAAATATTATATTTTTTTATGAAAAAAGCTTAAAAAATCCACTTTATCTCTGGCACTCTGAGATGGGACTCGTACCCATCGCAATCCGGAAAAAATCACAATATTTTTCAATATAGCACTCTGAATGCAAAATTTATCAAATATAATAATATTATGATATTGTTTTTTTTTATTATGAATGAAACTACATTTTGTTTCTAGACTCGCCACGTTAATTTCGCATTTATATGTATAACTACCTAATTTTCCGAGACTCCATCCGCTTAAAATTAAAGCCTATGTGTCCCGCTATAAGAGAACGAATTTTTAAAATCGATCAAGTAATTCGGAAGCTATTAAATTAAAAAAAAAAACAAATAATCAAATCTTACCTACTCATAATCTTATTATAGATAAGCTTACAATTTCAAAGAAGGTGATTTTCACAAAACATCAATCGCATTACTAGTATCAAAAGTACTTATTACGTACCTTTTCATTATTACAACCGGCGTTTCAACATCAATCATCAGTTCGTGCTTTGTATATGAAAGCACAGTTGATATAATCAATAAATGAAATGACAGTGGAACATCAATTTTTCATATTTGTTTTTTTACGTAATGCACATAAATAATTCTAGTATGTAAAAGAAATGATAAATGGTTATATTACATGGCAGAGTACCATTATACTTAAAAACAAAGAAACAAAACGAAAAATAAATTTATTATTAAATGACAATGGCATCTCTTCATGTTCCGCTTTTTTCTTTGTACAAGCTTTTAATTATAATGAATGTCTATATGTGATAATGTATGTCCGTCAAATCTTACAACTGAATTTAAAGCGAGTAATCTGAATCGAATAAATTAAAATTTTACCTAAAAAGTTTAAACCTATGCATTTTTTATTTAATTTAAATAAACATGTTTATTTTTGAGTTGCAAAAAACATTTACCTCGTTTTAAAAATGACTCATTGAAAGGAAGAAACATCTCGTAAAAATAAAATAAATTTCAGTTTGATCTGAGCAATATAGATATTAAGTGTCTATCGACGCACAATCAAACTTTGATGAATTGATCTTGATACATTGTCACACAAATATATTTTATATATTTTTTTAATACAACAGTACAAGTTTCAGTCGTGTATATGAATTAAAGACAAATTACCTATATTTTAATAATAGTCAGACTATAAACAAAAATAAAGATTAATTTAATCTATAAAAAATACATCATATATATTAAAATGATGGGAACGACAAAAAAAAATAATTAACAGTAAAATAATAACAAGCTACTTTAAAAATATATAAAAATTATGAAATAAATGTTGGCTAAATAATAATTTTGAAAATTTCAACCTCTATGAAAGTTTGACAGCGGTTTGAAAAATGTTACCCGCACGGGCGAAGCCATGGCCGAAAATCTATTACAATTTACTAAAGACAAATTAAGATTTAAGAATACACAATTTTTGTTCCGGTTAAAAGAAACATTCAATTTCGCTAAATATATTGGTCATTTCTTAAAACAGAAATATATTCTAAATAATTCCACTGTAATTTAATTAAAAGCATAGCTTGCATGAATTGTATTTAACATTTTCCACGTAAAGAAATATATAAATTGAAATATTCGTCATTTTAATTTAATAAAAACTAGTGAAATATTTACAGAAAGGATGTCTGTAAAATAAATAAACAGAGAGCGACCCGTGCTTTCGCATGAATATATTAAATTGGGTCGGTACTATGCAATTTCGATTCCCTTCGGCGTCATTCGTGTTAACAAATAAGTATGCAAGGCACCGGACTGTTCACCTTTTTAGATTATTAAAAATGTAGTCGGGTAACTCAAAATAAAATACTTACCTATGAAATAAACTCTTTAAATTTGGCCGAAAAAAGGATAATAGATAAATATTTACATCTTGTCTTGCGCCATTTTTTTATTTATTTAATTATTCTTGTACAAATGTACAATGGCTTAATGTCGTAGTTAACTTTAGAATGCTGTCGAAAAAAAGCAAAAGCCATAAATAATTTAGTCCCTGACAAGTCCTATACATGCTGTGTGTGCGTGTGTGTTTTATAGAGAGAGAAAGTAAATTTGTGACTGTGCATATTAAGAGAATTATTTATCATAAATAGTCAGCACACTGGCTTTAAATATGTTCCTACTTTTTCGCAACTTAGAGACAACTTACAAACAGTCGTTATTTGTGTAATTGGTTTCGATAATTCGTTTATGTACATTAAGTAGATAATTAAAACAAAAGTTACAATTTAAAGCTTTTGTTAACTAATAACTAGACGACAGACTTTTATAGGACTTAAAAAGTTTTAAGTGCTGGCAATAAAAATCGTAATTGAAGGTACTTTAGGAATTATTGAGACCATTTCTACTTCGCGAGCATTAAACTTAATTTTGTTAGTTTAGTGTCTTGAAAATCTATGTACTATCAGACTATTTAAGTGTTAAATTTCCCCATTCTATTCTAAAATCCATTGCAGTTCGACATATTGTAGTAACATAAGGCAGGATTGATAATGAACGGTCCGGGTCTGCCCGGGCATTAACTTCATATACCGTGTACCGGACAATGCGCGAGGGTAGTACGGTGGATTTTGCAAGGTAGGCGCACTGCACTGGACCGCGGTCCCTTGCAGTGGGAGAGCCCGGGTTTAGTCGGCCTCTAGTCCAGGTAGATGAAATGTTATTGCTAGTTCCCTTTGGTATAAAAAAAATAAAAAAGGGGTTGATAATGAAAAGTATTGTGTCTTTCCAGCCAGTCGCCATCACTTATATTGTGTTAATTATTGCAAATGATTGGATATCAAGATTTCTTCTTTTTACATTGGATATAAAAAGAAAGCCCGACTAAGTGTGAGACGGACTCGTGCAAGATTATAGGCCAAAAGAGGTGACCCCAGCCCAATGTGAATTGGTGGATGAGCATGCCATCCGAAGCAAGGAGAAGTTCGAGAAAATAAATTTTGGTCACCCATTCAGTGACAGATCCTTGCGAAAGTCCTTGCATGGCCTCTGAATAATAATCCACAACGAGCTAACTAATGCGTCACAGAACATTTTTTCACTAACAGTAAACAATGCTATATTTATATACTCAACCTGCGTGTTTCATTAGAGATTACGCACAATAGAAAAATGTGCTTAACACATGTTAATCACACTAAAAAACCTGGAGTCCATGTATGGCACTGGTTTCGTAGCTGGTAAGGAGCCCCATGACTTCTCTCTAGGCAACAATTCACAAATCACGTGTATAATATTTCGCCCTTTCGTATATATTTACGAGGAAGCGCAAATAAATATATGTTATATCTACACTAAGAAAATTCACTTAATTATTGGTAAAAATCACGTAAAAATACCGAATATATTAATATCTGTAAGCGGTGACGGACCGATGCCAACCATTAGAATTTTTACTTAACTACCCTACACAAAATTAATAAAGATTGTATTCAATCTACCTAACGCCAAACTTGTGCCGAATATGCGACCTTACCTACCGAGACCTTAACTAAAATAGGTATTTCTTTCGGCTATTAAGTTGATTACCTGAACATTGATTGAAACACGCTCATTAGCAGCGAAGGAAGGAAATAAGTGCTTGAGGAACTCGAGTCTCACTTAGGTTTCAGATAGCTCAATTAGTTAGAATAGTTAGTACGATATTAGTGAAGAATTGAGCCCCAAGAATTTGTCAATATTCACCAAGGAGTTAGCCTGTATAGGAACTACTTTGATTTTCTAACACCAAAAGACATAAAATCTAGGGTACCTATTTAAGATCAATATTTCATTATGAGTGCAGAATTTATAATTAATAAGTGTAATAATTGGAAAATATATATTTTCAAGGTCAACGTTTTTGGTTTTAGTTTTTGATTTTGTAATCGTGAAGCTAAATCATATGCAGTGAACATTGGTTATATTTTATCTCCAAAAACAGCATAAAAAATAGATGAAAATAGGAGTGGAAGTTTCTGTAGGAAATAAAAACCATTGTTCACTATTCAATTTGTAATTTTATATTATCCGTGTCATGATATGAAACATTATCCAAGTGAATTAATAAATTATATTATAAGCTTGTGTACGATATTAAGCAGTGGTTGGCGACTCACCGCATGCGATCCTTTACCGCCACGGGTTCCGAGGGCTGGGTACTGGAACGGGGTGCGTCGACGCGGTTACCAGCGAAGATATCATACACGATATATAGTCCATAGGCACTGATCCACCGTTCTTCCAAAATGTCGTTATTCTCGATAACGAACGATTCACCAAGCTCGATCAATATTAGGTGCGCGCAGTTAGCAATTTGAATTTACAGTAAAAACCGTCACCCAAGGACTAATGGTGGGGATTTGGAACAAAGACAGCTAATCGCCTTGCCCATAGACAATAAATAATTTACCTACAGATGTGTTGTCTTTTATAGTTAATTATCAATCACCTGTTTCGTTACGGAACAGCTTGGATTAAAATATGGGCTACATTTTATCCCACTAAACAATTTCCTAGGGACCACGTGG